GGCGTGTCAGCCAGTATGAGTGTTCACACCTTCAGAGCCTTTCTCTGCCTTCTTGTTGAAACGCGCATGCGACAAAAAGTGGTAGAAAACGAGTAATACGAAGGATATGATACAGTATTGTCACTTGCCCGCTTCAACAACTGGTGGAGAACGAGTTTGGCACCGCGCCAAACGCAGCCGCACTGACACGCCCAACCGTCCGCAGCGAACTACACTACGTATTTGCGGATATCTCGACACTTATATACTGAAACCAGTCCTCCAGCAGCATTCTTAAATGTCAGCGAGCCACAGTTCCCTTACAAGTGAGGCCTTTCCGCAATGCTCTAATTAGTTGAACTTTACAGGCAAACAAACTCGACATGGGTCCTGTTGTTGTTCATTGTTCAGCTGGAGTCGGAAGATCAGCTTGCATCGTAATGGTCGATGTTATATTAAAGTGTCTTTTCACCGGTCAACGAGTTGAAGTGAGTTTTTAAGGACACGGCCGAAGGTTTTTGGGTTGATCCCGTGTGATAGCACTATCCGTTACCTGGAAGCGGTCGAATGAAACGGATAAAACAGAGCGGCAACCCCCTTAGCAGAACCTCGTGACTGAGTCCTTTCTCCACTTAGAACCACTAATAAATAAGCTGTCTTGAATATATAAGACGGTTCCTGTGTTGACTTATGATGCTCTTAAAATTAGTGCTCATTCTTTCAGATGGAAGAGGTCTTCAAAAAACTGCGAGACCAGAGAGCAGCATGCATACCTATTGATTCATTGTACATTTTCGTTGCATACAGTGTAATTGATTATATTCGCGTGAGTTTCGGATTTCTGAATTCGTTTCAAAATATGTAGACGCACTCAACCTGCGGCTAAGATCCCTGAGGCCTTCTCATTTAATAATTTCCAACACCTCTCACGATCTCTTCCCTATGTGGCAAGCATCGCATCATTTGGAAGAGTACCACGTTCTCAAGGCTCGGACATGTTCAAAGACGAACTCAACGCTAGTTATGTAAACGGACCCTCTTAGATCGTTCAACCTCCATTACTGGTGCAACATGACTTTCCAAAATGGTCACCATGAGGAGCACGCGAAAGCGAAAGCATTTTGATCCAGGGTTCTCTTAGTACATACACGACTTGCATAGAGAAGCACTGCCTCCAGACGCATTCACTCCGAGGTTGCTTCGACATAACGTTGTTTCAGGCAAAGCATCCCAAAAAGTATAGAGAAAGGACCCAGAAATTCATAGACGAGTTTAAAAACCACGCAACGAAGTGAAGAAATTTTGGCGAAAAAAAATCGTGTTTTTTTTGAATCGAGTAATGTGACGAAGTGAAGAATTTTGGCGAAAAAATCGTGTTTCTTTTTTGAATCGAGTTAATGTATTGACATATTATCGTCATTGAACTACAAAAATGTGCATTGCTGAAAGTATAATAAATGCTAAGGTCTTTGTGACTATCAGTAGAATCTAGAACAAACCTTGCTGAATCCTTTTTTTGAACCCTTCCAAATTTCTAGAACAACCCTTGATGAATTCTTTTTTTACCCGTTCCGAATTCTCTTCGTAAGGTACCCGTAAGGCAATAGAAGGTATTGGCATTCTATTGCCATTCATAAACATGACCTTGTAAGGAAAAGCTGCATTGTAGCTGTACACAAGTAGTCTCTAAAAGAAAGAACACATAGGAAGTTCCCTCGCAACATTCAGAAATAAAAAAATTGATCCATAGGAAGGACTCCATGGACTCTGGCACGCCCGCAGGGCCTCTACCCCTTCTCCGCGCGTATAATGAAACGTTCGGTAAAGAACAATAGTTTGTTGGATAGTCGACTGTCGAGGGGCAGAGAGGAAAGCAGATTCCGGCCCGAGGAGACCTGGTTGTTCTAAAGAAACGATCCCGCCCGATGGATCAAAAAGGTTTAATACCTCAGCCGGTCGCTCCGTTGTATGTGCAGGTTCGCTCTGCCGACGCTTGTGATTGGCCGCATATGTACTTTCTCGCGCAGCGGCTGCTGGCGCGCGAGCCCGCTATCGAACATCGTAAACAAGCCAACTAGCTTACAAAGGGGTTCTGCCGTTCCCTCTTCGAGATTCTCTTGCATTGCGTTCCGTTGGCGTTCTCCGTAAAGTGCAGGATTAGAAGAACATCAACCTTCTGCCCGTCTTTCACAACTTAGCTATTCGAATTTGGGTGATTAAACTGATTCAACAGCTGATCTCAAGGTCACAGAAACAAAATCGTTCTTCGACCTAATGGGCATCACTTCAATCTACCATGTCTTCCATCGTAAGAATGGCTGCTCGATTGCCATTTAATAATTTAACAAACCGCGAGAGTACACGATGATGGATAAACAGAATTCGTCCTGCACGAAATCCTCGTGCCAT